AGCCGCAGTCTACAGTTCATAGTTCCATAATTTTTATTTGCCTCCTTTCCATCAAACTCCTGTTTATTATTTTTGATCCTTCACTTTCCTGCTCTCTTTTTGTATTTGTGGAGATTTAATTTTCACCAGCCTCAAACACACATTACTAGTTTAAATTTGCAACCACCTTCCTATAAATCGTCTACGCTGGAACATGGGATCCCATCGCATTTTAAGTAAAGTTAATTCCTTCAGTGAAGGAGAAAACAGAGTTAACATTTCGGGTCCGGTGATTCTCCCTCAGAACTGATGGTGGCTGGGAAAACGTCAGTTTATATGCAGAAAATAGGGAGGTGGGCGGAGTAGGGAGTAAACGATAGGATAGAGCCCAAAGAGAGAGAAAGACAGTTGGACAGACAAAGGAGTTGCTAACGATCAGGCTGGGAGGGTGAATAGTTGTTAATGGGGACTGTTTGTGACTGTTGTTAGTCACTAACAGTCCCCAAGGCTGGAATTAAACCCAGGTCCCTGGCACTGTGAGGCAGCAGTGCTAACCACTGAGCCACTGTGCCGTCTCATGTACTTTGCTGAACGTTTGTGACTGTTGTTAGTTGAAACATTAACTCTGTTTTCTCCTTCACAGATGCTGCCAGATCTGCTGAGCTTTTCCAGCAACTTCTGTTTTTGTTCCTGATTTACAGCATCCACAGTTCTTTTGGTTTCCATCCTTATTCAGTCCCCGCATCTATCCTTGGGATCTGCTGAAAGTGCTACATCCATTGAAGGTCCTATACTTTTTGAGAGGTGTCTTGGTGTAACATGTTCTATCACTTTGAGGCACTGCATTAGGTTGAGTTTCTGCCCGGGTTTAGACTTTGATATGATTTAAAATGTACTGTTTGTTGAAATCTGTACTGGGGCAATCACAGATAATGCATTATATTCAGATAAACTCATGGGGACTTTTAAACAGGGCAGACACATCCTGGAAAGCTGCAGAGAAGCAAGGCAGGCTGGAATAATTACAATGATAAAAGTTTCAATTTCATTGCGTTATCACGGAAATAACATTGGCCGCACAGATGAGACTGAGGTGTGTGTGTGTGTCTGAGACAGAGAGTAGAATTAATAATGAAATTGATGGAAGAATACAATCTCTAATTTACATCAAAACATTAACACACCATGAAAAGTCTGTAAGATATCGGAGTAAATTAGGCTGTTCAGTCCACTGAGTCTGCTCTGCCATTTGATCGTGGTTGCTCTGTTTCTCAACCCCAATCCCCTGCCTCTCCCCATAACACTTGATACACAAGACTAATCAAGACTGTACTGGGGACTAGTGGTTTCAATTATAAGGAAAGTCTGCATTGGCTGCGACGTTTTTTACCCCTGGAGCATAGGAGGCTCAGAGGTGACATTACACAGGTTTATAACATCATGAGAGGCATAGATAAGGTGAATAGCCAAGGTCTTTACCCCAGGGTAGAGGAGTTCAAAACAAGAGGGTGGTGGGAGGTGAAAGATTTAAAAGAGACCTGAGGAGAAAGGTTTGGAATGATTGGCCTCATTCATGCAAATGGGAATGGTTCAGTTTGAGAAATGTGTTTGGCATGGATGAGGTGGACTGAAAGGTCTGTTTCCATGCTGTATGACTGGATGGCTCGAGAAGTGCAGTATTTGGAGCATCCATTTCAAGTCCAGAACAAAATGTCTTCCACCAAGTTCTGGGTGTAATTGGATCTCTTAATCTGTTTGTTAATTACAGGCATTAATTTGAACTAGTGATGTCGCAACCTCTGTGTGCCCCTGAGCATAAATGCCCACAGGGTATAAATCCAACAGTTCTGGGAGTGTGCTGTCTCAGAGGTTAACTCAGAGAGTCGGCCCGCAGCACCAAATGACAAGAAACTGCAAGAGGAAAATTATGGCAATATTTTCTGTAGTCAGGAAAGTCTATTACCTGATCCTTGCCATCATTGGTGTTCCTGGTGAGTAATTCTGACCATAAATTGTATGAACTCCCTTTTGAGTTGGCGTCTTTGTTCATACATGGTGTGGATGAAGATTGGCAGAGCAATGTCTGTAAGGAATACTGCACTGGGCAGAAGACACAGGGATTATTTTGCTGGCAGGCTGACTGCAGACTGTTCTGAAGCTAGGGTCATGGAAGTCAATGATATGGGTTGGGAGATTCTGAGTGGATTGGAGGAAGATAGAGAGGGTGAAATCCACAAATCATGGGCGTACTGAGGGATGAGGTCTTACAGAGTCGCGAGTGAGGACAGAGATAAAAATGGACGGTTGCAATCCTACGGTGTTGAAACGGGCCACTCGGACCAACAAGTCCACACCAATCTTCTGAAGAATGCCCCACCCTGTCCCTGAAACCCTGCATTTCCCATGGCTACCCCACCTAAAATACGCATCCCTGGACACTATGGACAATTTAGCAGGGCAAATCCAGCTAACCTGCACATTTTTCGCAACTACAAAATCGAAAGACAAAAAGGATTTTTTTTGTGTGTGGGACATTGGTGCTGCTGGCTGATGCAATAACTATTGTCTGTCCCCTGTTGCCCCTTGACAGCTGCATTCTTGAAGCGCCTGTAGTCCATGTGCTGTAGGTTGGCCCACAATGCCCTTATGGAGGCAAATCCAGGATTTTGACCCAGCGACACAAAAGGACCAGTGATATATATATTATATATATCCAGATGGTGAGTAACATGGAGGGCGTGGTGCTCCCAAGTATCTACTGCCATGGTCCTTTTAGATAGGAGTGGTCCTGGGTTTGGAAGGTCTGAGGATCTGTGATGAATTTCTGCAGTAAGAAACAGCCTAAATGTGTTACTACAGAGCATTTTGTAGACAGAACATGGTGCTATGATTGAGTCTCCATGATGAAAGGAGTGAAGTCGAAGATGACAGATGGAATGCCAAGTCACATGCACTTATATTGACAGTATTGGGCTTATTTGAGTGTGGTTGGAACTGCACAAAGAGAGGAAAGTGGTGTGTATTCTATCACACTCCTGTCTTCTGTGTTGGGACCACACGTTAATGAATCTGGAGGTGAATTATTTGCTGCATGATTCTGAGCTTCTGACTTGCTCCTGTAGTGACAGTATTTATATGGCAAGTGCAGTTTAGTTCTCGGTAATGGCAACCCCAAGCAAGTTAACAGTTGCGCAGGGGACAAGGTTCCACAATAGTAAATCCATTGAACATCAAGAGATGGTGGACAGAATCTCCCAGTTGTTGGACGTGGTATTTTCCTGGTACCTTTGTCATATGAATGGTCTTGACACTTATCAGTTCAAATATCAATATTGTCCAGGTCATTTCGCATATGGTCGTGGATTACTAGGAGTTGTGAATGGTGCTGAAAATTGCGCAGTTATTTTGTTTTGTCTGTTTTCCTTTTAATGCAAGTTGTTATGCCAGTCCAGATGTTATCTTTAGCTCACGGCTCCCAATTCACAGCTCCAAACCAAACTTGATACAAAAAATGAAGACAAAAAGAATGAAAAAACCATTGAGGTCTCGAACATAATCTCAATGTCAATTGGCAGACACTCTCCCCTCACCTCTCAGTTGTCCATGTTATTCATGTTTGGTGAAGGCTGAAAGCAAGTCAGGAACAGTGTGGTCCTTATAGAACCCAGTTGAATATCAGTGAATAGCTTATGTCTTGCAAGTGTAATTTTACAGCACTGCTGAAAACCACTTTCCTAATGATCAGGCATAGACCAATAGGATGGTCGTTGGTTGGGGTGAATTTGTCCTAATTTTTGGATGCAAGATGCACCTGTGAATTTTCCCCAAGGTCGGGTCAATGCCAGTGTTGCAGATTTATTCAAGCACTTCACCTTAATGGCTCTTGTAGGTTCTGGAGCACAAGTCTTCAGTGCTAAGATTACAATGTTGTTATGGTTGAAGCAACTGGATATTGCAAAGGCCATTTCTTGATATCATATTGAGTGATTTGAATTGGCTGAAGATTGGTATCTGTGATGGGGACCCTTGGAGGAGGCCGAGGTAGATCATCCACTCGGCACTTCTGGCTGAAGATGGCTGTGAATGATTCTGCCTTGTCTTTTGTACTGATGTATTTGGCTCTTCCGTCATTGAGGATGGCAGTATTTGCGGAGCTTCCTCCTCCAGTCCAACTTCAACAGGATGGTAGTGCTACACAAACTGGTGTAGGTTATCCTCAATGTGAAAATGGGACTTTGCAGGCAGTGGAGTTGGCACTCGCGTTTAGGTTAGCATAGAAAATGGTCCATTGATTTTGCATCAGCCAAAAACAACCACTGAGCTAATCTAACAAGGTGTAGAGCTGGATGAACACAGCAGGCCAGGCAGCATCAGAGGAGCAGGAAAGCTGATGTTTCAGGCCTGGGCCCTTCTTCAGGTAGATCCAGACCCGAAAGGTCAACCTTCCTGCTCCTCTGATACTGCCTGGCCTGCTGTGTTCATCCAGCTCTACATCTTGTTATTCCAGATTCTCCAGCATCGGCAGTTCCTACAGCAGGATACTTTACTCACAGAAACAAGTCACTTAAATAATACCGCATCTTTGCCTTAAATAAAACTTACAAGCACAGAGCCTGTCAACTGACTACAAATGGTACTTGGGAGAAATTGACTCAAAATTGAATCAGCTATTGATATTTCTTTATTTTTTTCAATTGAACAACAGGTATAATGGCATTGAGGTAAATATCTTTTAAAATAAAACCATAGTAATTGGACAGAAAAATACAGTTAATTTTGCGGCATTTGAGGTATATAATTTTTGCCACTTTGCCAAATGTGCGAGTTCATAAGGTGCCACTTAAAGTGAAGTTTGTTACTTTGAAATTGCCAGTCTCAGGTCACTGTTGTCTGACATCCAAACTCTGCAAAAATAGTAATTAGCATACTGGACGCAATGTAGGCTCTGAGTTTTGATGATTTAAACATTACATTTTGCACCAACCAAGCTTTCATGCCTTTAGAGTTATCATTTGATGGCCATGTATGATTCACTTGTAACTTGCAGACTATTTTTCTTTACTTCTCCCTCACCTACAGTTAATTTACTGGCAATTGTCATTCTGTCCCGTGGAAAATGTGGCTTGTCTTCATGCACCACATGCTATCGACTAGCCATGGCAATAGCTGATCTCCTAGTCGTCATAACTGACTTCATACTGATACACATCAATCATTATTATTTTCCTGCAACTTACCTGAACATCACGCCTGTGTGTAGTGTAATTTATGTCCTGAGTCGTGCTGCCAGAGACTGTTCAGTCTGGTTCACTGTCACTTTTTCCTTTGATCGATTTATCGCCATTTGTGGCCAGAAGCTCAAAACAAAATACTGCACAGGGAAAACAGCAGCTCTGGTTCTGTCAACAACTTACATTCTGTTCTGTGTAAAGAATATCCCTTTCTATGTAACATTTGAACCGCAAAAGATAATCAACAATGTACCGTGGTTCTGTATGATAAAGTCAAGCTATTATACCGAGCCTGCTTGGAAAGGATTTGACTGGTTTGATGCAGTTTTAACCCCTTTGCTTCCATTTGTTTTAATTCTGTTATTTAATGCTCTGGTAGTCAGATATATTTTAGTGGCCAGTCGTGTTCGTAAAGGACTGAAGGATCCGAGCAAGGGCAAGAATCAAAATGACCCAGAAATGGAGAACAGAAGGAAGTCCATGATTATACTTTTCTCCATATCAGGTAGCTTTATACTTCTGTGGTTAGTATTTGTTTTATTCTTCATATACTATTACATTGCAGGAACAAATCCCAATTATTACTCTGGCTCCGTACATATCTTTCTACATGTTGGTTTTATGCTGGTGGGATTAAATTGCTGCACAAACACTTTTATTTATGCAGTCACTCAGTCCAAGTTCAGAAACCAGTTCAAAAGCTTGTTAAAATATCCAGTCACATTATTAACACTCTTAGTTAATAAAGAGAACTAGGAAAACCCTGAGACAACTCCCAATTTAACCAACACGTGAAATTTAGATTTATCTTCTATCTTCTTCACTTCTCTACATTGAATTAGACATAGAAGCGCTTAGGATCCTTTGATACCTCCAGGGGCTGCCATGTAGGTATAGAGTGCAGTCCTGTCCCTCCCTGTCCTTTAGGGCAGGGCACTATTTCTGATTGAGAGGGGAGTAGACACATGAAAAAGAATAGTCCATAAGATTTCAAGAAGTGAACATGTGAGGACCGGAGATAAACGACTGATGGAGCAATGTCAATTGGTCTAATGGTAACCATCTCAACACTATTATAAAACCCATCCAGTTCACTAATGTTATTTAGGGAAGGAACTCTGCTATCTTTAACTGATCAGGTTCACTCATGTCTCCAGATTGACATCAATGTGCTTGACTCTCATCTGCTCTCTGATCAAGTGGGGAGGCCAATAAATGCTGACCTAACCTGTGACCCCAGCATTTTCTAATTGAAATTAAATAAATAAGAGAGCAGCAATAGACTAGGAGGGGTCCCAAGTGGTTGGTGATCAGTAATCACAGTGGTATGGGGTGTCAGCCCACTGCAAGTCTAGAGTAATTGGTTACAATCGATTCTTTCAAAGGGCTGTGGAGTGTTATTGGGTTCCTGTGTTCTTGGAGGGATTAGTCAATCAGAGAAACCCAAGCCTTCCCCAATCATGGAAGCATACTAAAGAGACGAGGCCCTTTAGCCCATTGAATCTCTACCACCAAAAATACAATGTACCTTAACTAGGAGATAGCAACAACTGCAGATGCTGGAGTCAGAGTTGGAGGAACACAGTGGGTCAGGCAGCATCAGAGGAGCAGGAAAGTCAATGTTTCAGGCCTTGATCCTTCAGCAGGACAGTGACGTTGACTCCTCTGCTTCTCTGATGCTGCCTGACCCGCTGCGCTCCTCCAGCTCCACACTGTATTGACTATACCTTCACTAGTCACACTTGCCAGCATTTGAACCATGGGCTCCCCATTGGATATCACTCAGAGGTGCCCCTGCAACAATGGATTATACTTTCAAGGATATTGTGACAGGGACTAGAATGCAATTACAAATTGTTTTCTCCATGAATTGAATTTAAATTCCATGGAGTCTCGTGGTGGGATGCCTGTGGATCATTAGGCATCTCTATAATTAACTAAGTGATATTAACAGTGAGTCACCACATCACACATCTTTACAGTATTGGACATAAAGGAAGTGGGAGAAAGCTCATGGAATCGCATGAAGGTTCAAAGTTTGTGAAAGGCTTATTAAGCCCGCAATCCTTTGTCGATTTGATTCGAGCTCCTTGTATCTGTGTCATTGGAAAGAAAGTGGTCCAACAAAGTGACAATGCGGCAGACATTGGCAATCTTCCTGTATGAAATGATGACTGTCTATTGCAGCAGAGTCATGAATCCATCTCCATTCCAGAGACTCTTCTTGGCACAACCACCTCTCTCACTGCCTCTCTGCATCCCTGCAAGCCCAAGGCACAAATAAGACCACTTTTGGAATTTGACGGGTCCCTGAATAATTCCCAGACCCCACTCTCCACCTCCTGAAATGATAGATAAAGTAATCATCCCACTCTTCAAACAAGAAGCCATCTTTTCCACCCTTGCATCCATCTATCCAATCTCCAACCTGTCCTGAGTTTGAACCCAGTTATCGCTACAGCCCCTACTACCTGGAACCATGTTCCAGTCACTCCAATCATGTTTCTATTATTGTTTCAGGACCAGTATCCTTCTTAGTGAAGTTAATATTCACAGCATATCTGTCTGCAGGGAAGGTAAATTATCCTTGCCCTTCTTCTTCAAGCCCAGTATTTGGTCTTTGACATGCTTAACAGCAGCATCCTGTCTCAGCAACCAATCAGATCATGTATCTGTTCACCCCTGGGTCCACTCAGATCTGTTTCTCGCCAATTCCTCATTCTTACTGGATCCAAATTTTGAAGCCCCTTCCAACAGGATTGTTGGTTTACAAGGACTTAGGAACACAGGAGCAAGAACAGGCCATTCAGTCCTTCAGGGCCTGTCTGCCATTCAATGAGATCATAGCTGATCAGTGGCTTAACTCCATATACCTACCTGTGGCCCATATCTCTTCATACCTTTGTTTGACACAAATTTATCATTCTCAGATTTACAAATGGAACAGATGGTAACGCCCAGTACTATTTGTGAATGAGTGTTCCAATCATCTACCATCCTTTGTGCGTACAAGCACTTCCTAACATCTCTCCTGAACGCTCTGGCCCAAATTCTCAGACAATACCTCCCACTTCTGGAATTCCCCACTGTGGGAATAGTTTATCTTTATTCATCCTGCCTTTTCCTGTACATTTCGAACAGGTTTTCTGTTAACCTTCCACATTTTAGAGAAAACATTCCTAATTTTTACAAACTTTCATCATGATTTAAGCCCTAAAGTCCAGGTATCATTCTTCTAAACTTATGTTCTACATTCCTAAGGTGTGGTGCCCAGATACGCTCACAGTACTCTAAGCGGAGTCTAACCGGGGTCTTGTAGAGCTGCAGCATTTCTTTCACATTTTATACTCAAATTCTCTAAATATAAATGCGAACATTCCAAAAAATTTTTTGATTGTTTTCTGTAGCTGTCTGGGGCATTTTAAAGATCTATGCACCTGAATCTTAAACCGTCTTTGGGCATCCACTGTATTTAAATTCATACCATCTAGAAAATGCCCTGATCTATCCTTTCTCGGTCCAAATTTAATCAGCTCACACTTGCTTCTATTGAACTCCATCTGTCACAGTTTTGTTCAATGACCTATCCCAGCAGTTCAAGAAGGTACGTCACCACCATCTTCCTAAGGACACATAACAGTTGGGAATAAGTGCCAGCCTAGCCAACGACAACCACATAGCAGGGAACCATAAATGTAAAAAGACTACAAACTGTGTAAGAGTTGTGGTCCCAATCCCACAACTGTCCATCTACAGTATCCACTCATTAATCATTGGTTCTCTGCTGTTTCTCATTTTATCTTTGCGACACCTGTAAAGCATTACATCTGTAATCAAAAGTAAGCTGACAAGATAAATCTCCGCTTTGCCAGCAACTCTCTGTAGCTCCCCACTGTCATTCATTTATTAGCCCTCCCCACATTTAGTATTGTAGAACTAGAAAGGGATGAAGAAATGAGTTCATTCAGTCCAGTGCATATGAATTTGTCAAAAGAATTTCAGCAAGGCTATTTCCATTGTAATGGCTGAGGATGAGCTTTCGTGGAAAAAGGCTCGCCACTACTTTCTGGAGGAAAGGAAAGGACGGATAATTGAAGCGGCTTTTGACACAAACCAACAGATCCCTTCAGTGTATTTAATAAAGTATCAGAGGCTGTGGATCATTGCCCTCAGGGAAAATGATTCAATTGTGTCATATATCTGTGTGGGCTTGTGTCACATAACACACATTACATTTACATTCCTGTGTAGTTTTCCCTCAGTCATAACTGCCCTAGTGGTTCTCTATATGTTTTCACAAGAAATAGATTCAGAGAAATATATCCCATTAAACGTTGTGGCGTGTTAAATTTCTAATCATTTTCAATCCATTAAAATTTGTTTTAATCTTCACAATACTTTCCAAGGTTTTCTTTAAAGTATTCATGGTCCTCTACAAGGTTTTCAGAAATGTTGTAATCATTTATAGTGCTTTCTAATTTTTTCTAACCTGCCACGATCCTTTCTAACACCTTATAATGCTTGTAACAATCCATAATATTCTATAATGTCTTGCTCACGTTTCTAATACTTTATAAAATGTAACCATTCATTATCGTTTATAACCCTTTATAATACATTTTACATTCCTTTACGAACTATAATCCATTATAATAAAAACAGAAGATGCTGGAAAACCTCAACAGGTCTGGCAGCATCTATGAAGAGAAATCAGAGTTAATGTTTCAGGTCCCGGTGACCCTTCCTCAGAACTGATGGTAGCTAGGAAAATGTCAGTTTATATGCAGAGGATAGGGTGGCGGGTGAGGGTAAAGAGTAAACAATAGTTTGGGCTAGAGCCCAGAAAGATAGAAGAGCAATTTGACAAACAAAGGAGTGGATAACAATCTGGCTAGGAGGGTGAAAAGCTGTTAATGGGGACTGTTAGTGGCTAACAATAGGTAGTGTATAACGGCAGGCTATGTGATAAAAGTCCTGGTGTGTGGGGTTGAGGCTCGAACATTGGAGAGTTTAGGCCCTAAAATTATTGAACTCAATAATGAGTTTGGATGGCTACAGGGTACCCAAGCAGAAAATGAGGTGTTGTTCTTCCAACTTGAGCTGAGCTTCATTGGAACAATGCAGCAAGTCTGAGACAGAGATGTTGGCCAGGGAGCAAGGTGATGTGTCAAAGTGGCAGGCAACTGGAGGCTCAGGGTCTTTTTGGCCAGCAGAACATCGATGTTCTGCTAAGCAGTCACCCAGTCTATGCTTAGTTTCCCCGATGTAGAGAAGGCAACATTGTGAACAGCGAATGCAGTAGACTGGTTATGTTTCTGATTTTGAGCATCCACAGTTCTTTCAGTTTTTATAATCCATTATAATTTTGCACAATGACCTATGATCTAATTGCAGTCTTCATAATTCCTCATAATACCACATAAACCCCAGAATATTTAATTTATCTGTAGAGCTCTCTAAGTTTAAAATTGGTTATACACAACATGAAACACTTTATAACCTTAATGATAACCATTTCTAGGATTTCCCAACACTTTACTCTCTTTTGCGTTGTTTACAAGCTACGAAATAGGAGCAGGAATGGCTCATTTGTGAGATGGGGTGGAATTTCATCTCTCACACGGTTGAGTGTCTTTGGAACTCCTTGTCACAGAGAGCAGTGGAGATTATCTCATCACCCATAATCCTAATGAATGAAGGAGCAGGCTAGAGAGTCAAACAGCCCACTCTGTTCCTATTCCTTGTGGTCTTATGGA